AATTAATGGACATGACTAAGTTTGGTCCATTACAGTGGTACCTTGGGTTAAGTCCTTAATTCGTTCCAGAGGTCTGTTCTTAACCTGAAACTGTTCTTAACCTGAAGCACCACTTTAGCTAATGGGGCCTCCTGCTGCTGCTGCGCCACCAGAGCACGATTTCTGTTCTCATCCTGAAGCAAAGTTCTTAACCCGAGGTACTATTTCTGGGTTAGCGGAGTCTGTAACCTGAAGCGTATGTAAGCCGAGGTACCACTGTACTTCAATGAGTATACTTTGAATAAAACTTAGCTGGCGACAACACTAGGTTTTTACTAAGGATGTAATTCACAGTGCAACATGTATTAACCTGCGAGTAAGGCTGTGTACATGTTATGAGCTTAAAACACAGCTAGGTAGTTCTTTATCTCCATTTGAATCGAAAATGGTTTTGTGGGGAAACACATCAAAATATTGGATTGGGGTGGGGATGCATCAACATATTGGATGATTTGGTTGCCAATTACCTATTGGAACCCATTTGGTCTGTGGGGTGAGGCAGCGTCAAGGGAGTGGTTAGAGCCCAGAGTTTTACCTGTTGCAATCACACAGAGGTATTTGTAGGCAATGCTTTTTTTTCTAGAAAAATAGGTGCTGGTACTCAGCATGAAGTTGTTTCACGAAGTGGCACATTTTTTAAGAACAAAAAAAGAGGTGTTGGTACCCTTGAAATTCCCCTGAAAAAAAGCACTGTTTATAGGTAAGGAAAAACAACAAAGCATTTTATTGTAGGAAATACACATTTGGATAGGAAAGTTTCTGGTTCTAGTTTAGCTTATTAGCCTATAGCAGAACAATGCAATCATGCAGGTTGCTTTGTCCTTTCAGAAGACAGTCCCAGGGTGACCTCTCATCTTGAGGTGGAAGAGAAAAGTATGAGAGGGGCAGGAATCTGTAAAGCAGGGTGCAACCTAAGACATATCAGTCGAACAACAGAAGGTAAGAGGAAAGCTAATCGGAAGTCAAGATACAAAATAGTCTAGGGAACCTGGATGCCCCCTGACCAGGGCTTTTTCCCAGGGGGAACTCATAGGAACTCAGTTCTGGCACCACTCAGGCCATGGCCATTCTAAGAGAACAAGGGAGGTGTTCATGGTGAGTTCCGGCACCATAGAAAAACAGCACTGCCCTCGACTCTATCTGCCTCAAACCTCATGCAAGCCCCTCTTCTGCCAGCTGAGTTGCACTCAAACTACCAAACAAACTATAGAATACCATAAGAAATGATGAGATAGATACAGGGTAGAGGCTATCACCTTGTGTACACTGCCTCACAAATCAGGGTGGGAGTGCACACTGGATGCAAAGTAAATGGGAATGTAGATGCCGCCTAAGTCCCACAGTGCTCACACTGGCTTAGACAGTAATCCTATATATGAAGCGGGAAACCACTGTCTCTCCAGAAGTTGTTGGACTCCAGTTCCATCACCCCCGACCATTGGCCATGTCAGCTGGGGGTGAAGGGAGCTGTAGTTCAACATCTGGAGGGCCACAGGATCCCAACCCATCCCAGATACATTTACTCCCTAGGACTAGGTCCCACTGAACTTAACAGGACATATTTCTAAGCAGACATGCATAGGATTGTCCTGTCAGCATGAAAAGTAACATGAAACTAGCATTGCACAGCACACAGCAAAATGCAGGTGTGTAATTATCTCACATGATCATTTATACATGCAGGATACATGTCGTTTCCAACATGTAAGTGCCTATCATGGACAAAAAATAATAATTAAGCCCCTATCCAGATGCTGGAATGTTCAAAACGCTTCCCTTGTTTTTATTTTAATAAGCCTTTTGGGCAGAGCTGTATTATCCCCATAGTATGGATAAAGGGAGCTGAGAAACAGTGCTGAAAATTCATACTTTTTCTGCCTAAGCTTTAATAGAGCTGATTTTTTTTAGATGCATCCATTACATTTATATTCTACTGTAGTTCCCAAGTGGTCCAAGCACCAAGCAAGACCTGCTTAGCTATAGCAATGCTGCTGCATCACGTTTTTAGACCAAGGATGGGGATTTTGTGTCACTCATCCCATACTGGAATGTTGGGATGCAAACTCAGCTTGTCTTAAGACTAATGGGGCTTTGCATGGGGAGAAAACAGAGAAACTTCTATTTCTGACCTAATTTGTGCTGACCTCTCTCCTCTCCCAAAGTGCTAGACTGATATTTCTTAGGGTTGTTGCCCTCATTTCTGCACTTCCTCCTTCTCGAGCTCACCTCTGCAGAGGAGACATCTTCCCTTTGCCTCTTTCTCCTGCAGAGATTCAACGAGCAAGCGTGACTCCTTTGCATTCCCAACCTAGCTAGAACTAGGAACTTATTGCAGTGGCCAACTGGATGCCTGTGGGAAACCAGCAAGCAGGATTCAAGCCCAAGAGCACTCCCCCGCCCCATGGTCTCCAACAGCTGGTTCTCACAAGCATTACTGCCTGCAACAGTGGAGGCAGAGAATTGCCATGGCGGCTATAGACTTTGATCACCCTTTCCCCTATGAATTTGTCTCATCCTCTTCTAAAGGTTAGTGGCCATCGCTGCCTCTTGTGGGAGTCAGTTCCATAGTTTAACGATGCCCTGCACATAACAGCTTTTATCTGTTCTGAATCTTCTTGCATTCAGCTTCAATGGATGTCCACGACATTATGAGAAAAACTTCTCTCTATCCACTTTCTCCATGACATGCATAATTTTCTAAACATCTGACATGTCACCTCTTACTCACCTTTTCTGTAAACTAAATATGCTGCAACCTTTCTTCATTGGGGAGTCACCCTAAGGCAGGCATGTCCAAAGTCCGTTTCGGGGGCCTAGGGGTAAAATCCTAAAAAAATCTGGCCCTCTTTGAAAAGGGCCCAAGGCAGGGATCAGCAAACTTTTTCAGCAGGGGGACTGTCCACTGTCCCTCAGACCTTGTGGAAGGCTTGACTATATTTTTTTTGGGGGGGGGGAATGAACGAATTTCTATGCCCCACAAATAACCCAGAGATGCATTTTAAAGAAAAGCACACATTCTACTCATGTCAAAACACCAGGCAGACCCCACAAATAACCCAGAGATGCATTTTAAATAAAAGGACACATTCTACTCATGAAAAAACACGCTGATTCCCAGACCATCTGCGGGCCAGATTTAGAAGGTGATTGGGCCGGATCCGGCCCCCGGGCCTTAGGGATGCCCTTTTCTGAGTGTTTTCCAGCTCTAGAAATTCTTTTCTGAGGTGAGGCAACCATAAGTGTACACAGTATTGCAAATGAAGTCGCACCACAAATTGTATAATGGCATTATGATGTTGGCAGTTTTATTTCCATTTCCTTTCCTAATGATCCTTAGCATGAGATTTGCCTGTTTCACAGCTACTGCACACTTGATGTTAAGAGTTGTGGAGCTGCTCCATAGTAGCTCTACAGTGGAAATTCAATGGAGGTACTGGTCTGTGCAGATCCTTCTGCAACTGACAGGTGAGCCCCTCTAATCCACAGCAGGTCCTTCTGCAAAGCTGCACTTCATCTTCTCTCTCGCTGAAGCACAGACAACCACCCCCACCCCAGATGCCACATAGATAAAAGTGATTTCATTCTCCCTTAATAGAGAAAAATGGGAAGACGGTGTCCCTTTAAGGGAAGATACCAACAGCCCTCCATTCTCAGGAGGAGAGGGGTGGGAAAGATCTTACCATCAGATTGCAACCTTCATGTGTCTGCAGCAGCCACAGAAGCATGTCCCCATGGCGTGGTGGGGAGAGGGGGGATAACAAAAGGTGTCACTAAGCTTCCTCACGTTGCAAAAGCTATTTATATAAGGACAGCTGACTCTTTCCTCTCTCCTTCCTTTCTTTAAGAAAGGCAGACAAATAAGAGATTCCAATTTTTTTAAGCAGCAGCAACAACAAAAAAGAAAACATTGGCTAGCAATCTAATTGAAAGAAGAAAAATAAATATGAGAAATGCACAAAAATCCAGCGGGGACTCCAGCAGCAAGACTTCTGGGTGACAGCTACGGTAGGTATTTTGCAGGGGGCAAGACAGCAAGTAGGAGGCAGCCGGGAGCAGAGCGGTGGCAAATGGCTTATCGCGCACCGTTGCAAATAGGCCTCAGCACCTAATTTGGGAGGTGGGGGTGGCGGGAGGAAAGGGTGGCGGCGCGTGCAGATAGGCTCCCCGTTTCTGCGCAACCTCTTTCATTCTCCACCAGGCGCCGTGCACTTCTCCGCAATCGCCTGTAGGAGCCGCCTCGAAAGCGGTGCATAATCCGCCGTTCCTCCGCACGCTTTAACGCGGTTTGCGGCGGCTGCGCTCTCGCAAAGGCAAGCGGCGCGCGCCTCCCCGCCGCTTCCCGTCCTCTAGCAGGGAGCTCTCATGCTCCATGCCCATTCCCACGCCGCGCGCTAAGCAGAGGCTCCCCCGCTTTGCCAAATGCACAAGGGCCGCCGCGCAAGCCCGTCGGCGCGCTCCTCGAAGCTGCGCATCGCGATCCCGAATATACGAAGCGTGCTAGTCAAAGTCAGGAGCAATTAATAATCATCATCATCATCGGACAGGAGCAATTAATAGCAGCAGCCGTAATACAACGTCTCCCAAATAAAGCACGGGAAATAATACTGCATTAAATAAACAAGCAAAACCCGTAGCAACGAATGCCGCTTGCTTGAGGCAACGTTCCACGCAGTGCATGCAATGTCTCCCTCCCCCCTGAAAAAACAACCCCCAAACTCTCTCCAGCGGACTTTGAGCCGTTCTCGCTCCGCGAGCAACCCGAGGTTGCCCAAACTCAGCGGAGGGTGGGAGCCGGGAGCTCGAAGCACCGGCTCTGCGGCTTCAGCAGCCAATGAGAAGCGGCGCGCGGCACGTTGCGAAGGGAAAGGAGGCGGACCGCCCCCTTTCTCCGTTTTCAGCAGCCAATCAAAAGAGGGGGCGGTGAGTTTGGTGTCGGCCTGGCTTGTCTGTCTGGTTGTGCGCGAGCGCGCGAGCCTTCTGTCCTTGGCGCGGGTGCGCGCCTGCGCGCGCTGGCCCAGAAGGGGGTGTGTCGGCGAACCCGGGAGAAGCGAAGGCGGCGGCGGCGGCGGCGGCGGCAGGAGGGGGGAAGGGAGCCCGATAATGGCGGCCAGGAGAAGAGAACGCCGCGGCGCCTCTGAGGTAAATGTTTGACACATTCGGGCCTCGGCGCCGAGTCCTGGCACGGGAGCGGCGCCCGGAGCTCCGAGGACGCTCCGCGACAGGCCCTAGAGGCCGAGCCAGGAGCCCTGGCCGTCCCAGGGGCCTGGGCCCGAGGGAGCCCCAAGCTAGCGTCCCTGGCCTTGGGCGCTCGGAGCAGGCAGCTCGACGTCCGGCAGGCTTCGTAGCTCCCTTCAGACGCCTTCGTGGTGTCCTGGGAAGGCAGTCGTGGGAAATTGCGGAAGTGTTCGCGTGTCCGGAGCTCCGGTTTACACGTTACGTGACGAATACCCGGGTTGGCTTTCCAGGGGCTGGGCGGGGAGGGAGCCCGAAACAAGCTGTTCTAGCCTGGCCTTCTGTCGCTTTAAGGGAGGTGGGGTATCAGCAGGTGAGCTTTCTTTTTTTTAATGATACGGAAGTAAACACGGCCACCTGCTCAGTGCTGCAGGTCTAGCGGCGGTGACATCCCTGGTTGACCACCGGCTGTCAACTCCGTAGGTCTGTCACCAACTTTTTTGCATCGGGCGGGGGGAGGGTGCTGCTTTTGTCTCCTAATCAGCTGCTGCTTTTGCGGCTATTGCCAGGTGATAATTCTGCTGGAAAGCTTTGCCTGCTGGTTTCTCTGGAGCAAGTGACTGTTAAAGGCGCAGGAGCAGGCCAGGCCGGGTGCTGTCTTTCTTTCCTTCCTTCCAGGTGATTTTATATCTATAGGGGCACCCATCCGCTCCCAAAGCAGTCCTCATTTTCTTATCATTATGCCTGTGTGAAGAATGTGTTTTGCAAACAAGTATTTTGTGCTATTTGCAAGTTGATTGAAAACACTGACATGGCAAACGAGGCTGCAGCTATATGGGTTGGATCCAGACTTTGTCATACGTAGAGTAGCTTTATGGGGGCTTGAATTAGTCGTGGATCTAGCCCTGTGCACACTAACCTGTTGAATAGAATCAGACTGCTGCAGGTGAGCTGCAGTGTCATCTCTGTATATCTTCCAACTTCTGCAAGAGAAATCTGGGTGCCTGTATCTTTTAATGGTTATGCAGGGATGGTGTAAGCTGGCCTTCCCAATCTGATGCTTCAGACATCCAACTCCCCGTCAGCCCCAGCAACCATGGCTAGTAGTCAAAAGGGATGATAGGATCTGTAGTACAAAGTATCTGGAGGACACCAGGCTGCGAAAGAGTGATGTAAGATATACGGCTTGCAGTTCTCCTTCTGCATAACTAATCAAAGGGATGGAACCGCGACCTCGTTCTGCTGAATTATTTCACTGGTTAAAACAGGGATATGCTCAATTTAGATTATATGGAAGAGCTGCCTTTCAGTGAATGGTAAAAGTATGCTGCTTTTCACAGTGATGTGTTAGAGATTCATGAAAGGATTTTGGAAAATCCTTGCCTTGGGAGTATTCCTTTTCATAACATGTAGGAAACATGTAATCTTTAAAACTCGGTATTTGGTACTGGAGTTTCCAGAAGCTACTAAAGTATTTATTCCTAACAAAGGAAGCTGATATTTTTACCAGCTAAATAGGCATACTTGGAGAAAGCATGCACATTAGATACACAGCAATGTCTAGTATACATAAACAAAGCGACACTTGGGGAATGGAGATAGGGGGAAATCTAGCTGATAGGGAGCTTAGAGAGTTGGAGCAAAACCAAATTGGTATGTGTAGTTCAGTGGACCCAGAATTCTGTGTTTTGTAGCAGGAGCCTCTGGCCTACAGGCCATCCGTGGCCTTCCAGGGAGTCCAGTTTGCCCCATGAGGCCATTTCCCCCAAACCACACTCACTTTTCAATCAGCTGACATCACTGGGTGACGTAGGCAAGGGGTCAAGGTTCAGTCCTCAGTCCTGCTGAACACGATCCCTGCAGGGAACGTGCTGAGGAAGCAGATCCCTGCAGAGAATAGTACTGAACTCTCTGCTGTCAGCTGATGAGCAGAGAGTTCAGTCCTTCAGGGCGCTGCTTTAACATATTCCCTGCGGAGAGCATGCTGGTGAAACAGAACCACCACCCCTGCCCCATGGGTCAACTTTGACAGGGTGGGCAGGAGCACCTACCTTCTAGGCATCTGATGGTTGGTGTGATGCATCATTGCAGATGATTGACAAGTGAGTGGCTCCCACCACCTGTCAAAGTTTGCCTCCACAGTTGGAGGAGATAAAGATTTGGCCCACTGGGGCAAAATGTTTCCTACTCTTGTTTTATAAATTTCCAAGGATTACCTACAGATTATCTAATAAAGCACCTCCTCGTCAACAATCTTGTACCTGCCACATGCTTTTGACAGTTGTTTCTCCTACTGTAAAAACTAAAATGCCCCTTCCCAAAGATCATACCCCTGGATGGGCGGGGTACAAATAAATTATTATTATTATTATTACTCTTGTCCAAACCATGGCATCATAGAAAATATTTGGCATGTGTCCCACGCTATGTGGGAGTTCTGTCTTTGGTTTAATATCTGTTTTGTAGTTTCTTGTATATTTATATGTTCATCTTCAATATTGAAATGTTTTGTTTCTGAAGAGCAGCTGCCAGTCTGTAGTTAAAATAACAAAAGATTGGTGCAAAGTCCTGTCCCATCTTAAATACTAACAGATGTTTAGAAGTGGGGTGGGTTATATAGATATTCCTAAGAAAAATATGTGTGGTCTGAAATTACTATATCAACAAATAGATACAGCCACCACACAGTAGCACAGAAATGAACTGAGAAGTGAGGTCCACAATTGGGGTAGAGTGTATATTTATAGCATTGGGATGGCAGTGATGGGGCATAAGCATTGACAGGACATCTATCAGCCAGAAATTTCTTAGTTGTGCTTGGCTTTTTGTTCTTATAGATACCTTGACCTTGAAGATGGTGAGTAGCCAGCCAAAGTACGATCTAATACGGGAGGTTGGTCGTGGCAGCTATGGTGTGGTGTATGAAGCAGTAGTGAGGAAAACCTCTGCACGTGTTGCGGTGAAAAAGATTCGGTGCCATGCTCCAGAGAATGTAGAGCTTGCCCTGCGTGAATTCTGGGCACTTAGCAGCATCAAGAGCCAACACCCAAATGTTATTCACTTGGAGGAATGCGTTTTGCAAAAAGATGGCATGGTGCAGAAGATGTCCCACGGCTCCAGCTCTTCGCTTTATTTGCAGGTAAATGAAGTTGCAGGTAGTGGAAGAAACACAGTGGGTTAGAAGTAAAGGGAAACAGAAAGGACAACAAAGACACAGATGCCAGAAGTGTGCATACTACAGTGTTCTTTAGAAGAGTGTTTGCTTTTCTGTTTTTACTACAGTTAGACACTTTTCCTGAAGCAGAAACTTAGGGAAAGCACACAAAACAGTTGTACACAAAGCTGTCATTGAATTTCACTCATCGCGGTGCCCCGATGCACCAGAAGCAGTTTAGTCATGTTGGCCACATGACCTGGAAAGCTGTCTGCGGACAAACACTGGCTCCCATGGCCTGAAGTGAGATGACCTCTGCACCCCATAGTCTAGTTTGACTGGACTTAACCGTCCAGGGATCCTTTACCTGCATGAGATTGTAAATACAACTGATTTTTCTAAACTTTGGCTGTGCTTGAAAGAGAAGTGAGATATAGGAAACTGCTGTCCCACTGTCCAAAAGTAATAGGTCGCCCAACAGACTTAAATGACAGCCATGCCAACACAACATTAAATAACATTATTTCTGCATGGCAGGAATGTTAGTGGTATTATAGTGATAAGTACTGTTGGGATCATCCTGGGAAAAGAAGCATTAATAACCCTTTTAATAATTTTGTATCTGCTTCACAAAGTCATCACTGTATTAGGCAATGTTATGATCAAATCATCTCTAATGAAATACATTTTTCCAAGCCTTGAATGCATATTGCATTATTTCCAAAGGGTTGTGTTGTCTAACAGCACTATAACAACAAAATAAAAAATAAAAAGCCAGTCAAAGAATAAATTAATCATCTTTTAAAAGTCTTTCTATAGGCTAAATCATTGTTCTAATGTTAATTCTTATTAGCTTCTTCCCACTTGATATTCTAAAGAAGGAAAAACAGTTTTTTTAAAGGATAGCAGAACAAGCTTTGTGTCAAGCAGATTGTGAAAACAGCTGCTCAGCAATCTGCATTTCATGCAGTAAAATAAGCAGTAAAAAAATAACTTTGAGAGCAAAAGCAAAGGCCTCTAATTTTTTTGTAGTTGTGCATTTTTTTTGTTCTGTTAGGTTGGTCTGATGGCATTCATTCATGCAGATGGAAGGGAAAGTGTGTATCGGTGTCCCACTAGATACATATTCCATTAATCCAGAGTCAGTAATGCTCATAATAGTACTCATAATGGAATACTGTAGCTTCATTCACACAGTACACTAAACCATATCAAAGGAAACTTAACTTTGGTTTGTTGTCATGTTTGTTGGTTCACACTATTGCTTTAATCAGCCAGCAAGCCAGAAATGGAAACCATCCTTTGAAGTGGGTTTACAAGCCATAGTTCCAGCTGAGACTAGAGGTCCCCTGCGCTGTAGTGTCCCCTGCGCTGTAGAAAGGAATGCTGAGCAGATAGAAAATAAAAGCAGACAAGCAGCTCCAAACCATGATATGTCCGCATGTTTGGAAGTTCAAACCACGAGTTTGTACTATGGTTTAGAATTAAGTCTGTCCTTCCATGGAAAATGTTGGTTGAATGGGTGAGATGATTCCTATGCATGTATGGTGGCATCAGATGTCTTTTGAAAATACTGTTTAAAGAAGAAAGTTGGGAAGAAGGATGAGCACAAAGGGGGTATTTATAATACATGCATTAAAAGATAATGGGTTTCTAGCATTCCTTTTCATCAGCTGCTTTCTTGACTCCTACTTGCTGAACAGATTCCTTAAATGTTTTCTTATTACAGCTTGTAGAGACCTCCTTGAAAGGTGAAATTGCCTTTGATCCCAGAAGCGCCTACTACCTTTGGTTTGTGATGGATTTCTGTGATGGAGGTGATATGAATGAATATCTCCTGTCTCGAAAGCCTAGTCGTAAGACCAATACTAGCTTTATGCTTCAGCTCAGCAGTGCCCTGGCTTTTCTGCACAAAAACCAGATCATCCACCGTGACCTCAAGCCTGACAACATCTTGATCTCTCAATCCAGGATGGATGCTAGTGACTTGGAGCCCACTTTGAAAGTAGCTGATTTTGGACTGAGTAAGGTTTGTTCAGCTTCAGGACAGAACCCTGAAGAGCCAGTGAATGTGAATAAATGTTTTCTTTCTACAGCTTGTGGCACAGACTTCTACATGGCTCCTGAAGTTTGGGAAGGTCACTATACTGCCAAAGCAGACATCTTTGCATTAGGGATTATAATCTGGGCGATGTTGGAAAGGATCACTTTCATCGACACAGAGACCAAGAAAGAACTGTTGGGGAGTTATGTGAAACAAGGAACTGCAATTGTACCTGTTGGAGAGGCATTGTTGGAAAATCCAAAAATGGAGCTACTCATTCCTGTTAAGAAAAAGACAATGAATGCTCGTATGAAGCAGCTGATTAAGGAAATGCTTGCTGCTAATCCACAGGATCGCCCAGATGCTTTTGAGTTGGAACTCCGGTTAGTTAAAATTGCTTTTAAAGACAGCAATTGGGACACGTGACCTCTGTAGTACTTTGAACTCTTGTCAGGATTGTGTCTGTAACAATAGGGCAGCACTCTGTGGAAGCAAAAAACAGACTTAACCCAAAATTTAAGGTGTCAGGGTTCAATATTTCCCCCCATTGCATTTCTCTTGATTTTTGTAAACAAAGCTCAAGGTGGCTGTTCTTGTTTCAGAACCATATATGTATATTTCCAAGCTGCAGCTGTAATGCTATCCACATGGCCAGGAAACTTGACATTTTAGGAGGTGATTGCTTTCTAGGAATATTTCAGACATTCCAGTTTCATACTGCAGAATTTGGAATGCCCATTGAAGAGAAGGTTTGCATGCTGGTAATGCAAATTATTCAACTTTGTAGAGTAAGCATGTATATATTTATGTCTGTATGAGTGACTTGACTTCCCCATCTTTCGAAAATGTCCCCATTATTTATATTGTCTCGTATTGAATTGGGTGACTATAGATCATCCGTAAATTCCACATCATAGATATTCTCCACTTTTTTTTTAAGAAAAAAAAGTTGATGGCACAAAATATGATAAAACAAATATGATGCAAAGGGAACCTCTGGTTCTAGCACTAAGCTACTGTTGGGCAAATCTCTTAGTTTGGAAGGCTGCAATAGGTAGTCTGATGGCACTTCTTAGTTCATTGAGCATTCAGGTTCATTTTTTTTGAGGTAAAGGAAGTCTTGTGCTAAATCTCTCTCTAGCTCCTCCCCCCATCCTTTGCATTTGACATCCAGCGTTACCTTTAATGCATTGTGTCTCTTTTTATCAATTTTTTATTTTATTTTATTTTTTACAAATGTAGATCATGGGGAACAGAAAAACCTCCCAAATTCTGCTGAAAACTTTGCAAATGAGAAAAAGGTTCCCATATTTTGTTTCCGCCCTGGCTTTTAGAGGCCAGTCATGCTAGCTACTCCCTCCCTTCTTAGCAGAGGTTCTTTTGGTCGCTCCTTAGCGGTGGTCTTGATGATGGGATATTTGTATTGTTCACTTATTTTGTGCAAGAAGGACTCTGAAAGCTTAGTGTACCATTGAACTATCCAGATTCTTTCTTGCTAGAAAACGTTGCCCGTTTGGGTGGGGTGGGCATTGTTCTCTGCACAAAGTAATAGTGATTATTCTGTTGCTCTCATGTGAAAGGCACTTTTTTATGACTTTTGGGTAGTAGATGCAGAACATTTGGCACAACCCAGCCAGCTCCATCCATGCATAGAGAGCAGAGTCAAGAAGTGACTCAACCAAAGGCTAATCTAAACCCTTCCTCCATCACCTTTGTGCTTCCTCACTACTGTCTCTGTGTGCACCACATTACATCTGAAGCCTTTACTCTGCAAGAAAGCCCTTCCCTTTCTTGACTGCTACTCTGAAGTTTTCAGCAACCTTGATTCTCCCCCTGTGGTTTTTGGGGGTACGCAGGCTACTCTGCCCATGGCTTTCCACGCACGGGGTAAACAAAAGTTCCACGTTATGTTGTTTTGCATTAATATACAGGACTTGATAGCAGACAGGAATAAATACCTTGATTTCATGAGTAAATAGAACTTCCACAGGGAAAACTGGCATAGTGTGTGTGTTGATTTCATTGGGGAAAATAACTGTATTGTCTCAGTTGAAATAGTCTTGATGCCATCAGCTACAACCTGGAAATTGGAGTGTGAATTGACCTTCCCCCCCCTCATGAAAGGCACTGGAGCAGATTATATCTTGCCTAAAATAACTGAGGAAATGTCATTCCAATGATCTTGGATTTCACAGAGACAAACTTCAGGAGAATATCAACTTGTATCACTTGACATATATCCGTCTGCCCAGCTTTCAGTGTGATGCTATAGTATATTTTGTCAACTGAGGATCCTATCGATGTCTGTTCTTTGAATGCAAAGGTAATACACAAGCCAGATTTCTTCTCTGCAGTTACAATGTAAATGTTCAGAGGCGGAAAAAACTCTTTAAAGCACCACCTGTGCCTTTAGAGACAAGATTATATTGCAGGTAGGAAAGCACTCCTGCAATTTTATCCATCAACAAATTTCCTTTAAAAATGTGTCAAACAAAAAGAGCACGACTTGCAGGAGTTTGGCAGTCTTTTCTTTGAGGACTGGAAAAGCAGGAACTCTCAGTCATGTACGTCCTAACTAGTCTGATTACTGTGTACAATTTCTTGGCACTTGCAAATCCTCAGCAAATCCAGATTCTGGATACATTATTGCATGTGCTTCATAGACACAGTGCAGTATCTAGTAATAGAGCAAGTTATATTTATCGTACAGTAAAACTGTTAATGCCCAAATGCACTGCTACTTCTTAAAAGAGTTGGGGAGGCCTCACCAGGTCACCTCCTTTCATGGTGCTTAGCCCCTTGGCATTGAATGCTAACTTGATTGTTCATTAATTATCCACTGAAAAATTGTCCCTGAGATCTGTGTGTGTGATTTTTGTTGTTGTTGCTTGTGTTTGCTTTGGGTTCTTGTAAAATCTCCAAAATCAAAACTATTGTAGCAGCTACAAAACAATTCACCAGCGTAACAAAGAAGTTGAGATACTCATCAGCACTTCAGAAAGAAAGCAAACTTTCAAAGCTTTTCCTTAAAAATTGTAAACTCTATTTTGTGAAAAAATTATTAAAAAAGGGTGGAAGGAGAAATGATTGTGTAATTTATTGAGTTCGTGACTTTAAAAAGAAATAAAGTCTGAATTGAAAGAAATTGTGTTTGATATGCTTCTTTTGTGCTAAATTTATTTCCATGAACTATCCCGCTTTCTCGTGACACAAAATTAGCATTGGGACCAACACATGGTGGCCTTGGGGTGTGATAGTGGTGGCTTTGTTATGTAGCAAAGGTGGGAGAACCTCAGGCCCAGGGGCCAAGGCACTCCTCCTTGGTTTTTTTTATTGGTTCTGCTTCATACCCTGAGGGTTTTTGTCTGTCTGGAATGTGTCTTTGAACTCTGATAATGCCTCTTGTTTGTCTAGGCAGAGGATAGATAAGAGTGTGTGAATGTGGTAGAAACTAGCCCATGGGACAAAGATAAACTTTCCACCGTTTTTTTCTGCCTGTTTTTGCATCTGGCCCCTCCCACTGTTGGCATGTGATTCCCCACCCCCAGATGGTTGCCTGGAAGCCTGAAAATAGTTCCTAACCCCTGAAATGTTCAGTTTCTTGTATGTAGAGTGCAGGGAGCTCTGTTTGAGCAAACCCTGTTGTGTACTAGTATTACTATTTCTAGAGGCAGCTTGACAGAGGCAATTGAGAGCTGTCCCAAGTGGCTGGTTTTGGGTGCCAATAAGGGCAGCAGAGTAGGGGAAACAGATCTGCCCCATGAGATGTAACCCACGTGCAACTTCTGCACATGCTTCACTGAAATCTCCATGCGGAAACATTGTTATTGATAGGGAACACTGATGAGCCACCCTATAAATACTTGTTCTTCAGGTAACGCTATCCCTGTTCAAGCACCAACAAGTATGTTACTTAATATACATTGTTCGTTCTGGTTGCCCAATCAGGTTTAGCCAGAGAAATGCAACCTTTGCGGATAAGAGCTTTGCAGTGCTCCTCAAGCTTTGACCTGGAGTGTCTCTTATTGGTGTCCAAGAAATGACCTGTGTCTGGTACAATAAGGAGATCTGGTCGTTATAATTCCCATCCTCCCCAGTGCTGTTTTCCCAATTTCAAATGCCTCTTCCAAGCTTTAGTGTACAGTCGCACCTTGGAAGTTGAACGGAATCCGTTTCAGAAGTCCGTTCGACTTTTAAAACATTTGAAAGCCCAAGTGCGGCTTCTGATTGGCTGCAGGAAGCTCCTGCAGCCAATCAGAAGCCCCATCGGACGTTTGGCTTCCAGAAATCATTCGAAAAGTGGAACAGTCACGTCCGGGTTTGAGTTGTTTGGGAACCAAAACGTTTGGGAACTAAGCTGTTTGACTTCCAAGGTATGACCGTAGTGGCATTCTGCATGTTTCCTACTCTGAGCATAAAAATATAAATAAATAAAAATAAATTTAAAATAAAAATAAATAAATTGAACATTACTGTTCTTGAAGGAAATGGATAATGAAACAAGAGAAGCTGGATTTAGATGGGGGTTTCTTGGTCTGTCAGAAGCTGATACTGTGACATTCAACCTCAGAGACGAAAAAGAAGCACTGAACTCCTTAGAGGGAAGGCATGGTTAAAAAAAAATGCCATAAAACAATGCATCCTTATTCAAACAGCAGTTTAAAGTTTAACCCAGTGCTATGCTCCTGACAATTATTCTCTTCTTCAGAAACTTGTTGGGAGAGAAAGGACTACCCAACCCTCTCAGATGTTCAGGCCCAATTATGAAGTTGGCTCCAAAGCCCAACGGTATGGAGGACAGTTATTCGGATGGTATATTTAGATTATCAGCTGTGTATGTGCCAGAGGGGGAGGGCCCTGAGGAATAAATGTGGTTCCTGAAAGAGTCACCCACAAAAGAGATCGGCAGTGCAGGTGCTATTCCAGACAACTCACAAAACTGTCCTTGCTTTACAACAAAAAAGAAAAGAAAAAGAAATTTATGACCAATGCAAGAAGTATGGCTTCAGTATTAAGCTAGCCTTTCCCCCCCTCAGACACACATACCACTTTTGTTCAGAATCCAGCCTGGTGCAGAATTCTGTTGGACTCAAAAGCTTGCTCTCACACATTTATGACATTTTGGCTGGTAATTACAAAGGGCCTTGGGAACAGTCCAGTCCCCAGATCAAAGTGGTCAGGTGGGCACATATGGGGTAAGGCAATCTTGCAAGTAAATTAGTCCCAAGTTATAAGGGTTTAATATAACAATCGTAACACCTTTAACTTCGTCCCAACCCGTGTAGCTCTCTGAGCATAGATGTTTCATGCAGACAACGTCTCACTCCTGTCAGCAGTCTTGCTGCAGCATTCTGAGCTAACTTCGGCTCCTGGTTCAAGCACAGGGGTAGCCTCACGTAGATTTGACTTCAGGTGTCTCCTAGTCCAACGCCCTAACCACGACACCCCACTTATTCTCCTGTATTCAGAGCTTGCTCTTGCCTTTTGTCTACCCTGTATGTGCCTGCAGATGTCACACGCAAGGTGTTGAGTCTGCGTGGCTGGTGTTGAGAACTGTTCCGCTCGTTCCTCATTGCAATCTGTTTCCTTTCTATACACATTTCAAATGGTGCTCTCTTCTCTGCGCCAGCCAATCGGGGCTTCCGTCTGAAACTGCAGAGTAATGCTAGACCGTTGGTTTGTGTGGTTAGTTAGATAAACTTTGAAGGGAAGTTGGGCAACAGCTGAGGCTGCACCTTTTTGGAACGCTGCTTTCATAAAAAGTCACGCCCTGTTCCTCAATCCTGTTCAGTTTTGAATCTTGGAGGCTGACTGAGGATTTGCTGTTCTCACTTGGTTCATGCATTAGCTTGTGCTTAGAATGTACAGGTTTTTGCTAAGTCTTTGTGTTATGGTATGGAGAAAGAACCGGCAATGTATGACGGGGTGCACAGGGTTCACCTTATTTCCCTGTGCTCTGCTTAGGGAATGGTGACAAGTCAGTCCATTTCAATTTCTCCCCCTTTATCATAGGATCAGAGGATGGTAGAGTCGGAAACGATCCCAAGGGTCATCTAGTCCAACCCCTTGTAATGCAATTTACCATTTTTTCAAAGCTTAAATTCGGTTCTCCACTTTTCCATAGCAGTTTGTGAACTTTTTGTAAAAGTCCTCATGAACCTTCACCAGCATTTTAGTGTGTGATTGTTTCCCCTAATGTACACACGTGTCTGTATGCAATTGTGCCTAATACATACATTTTTGCAAACCAATTTCCCCTAATACAATGCACAGAATTGTATTGTTTCAGAAAGTGCAAATTTGGTAAGTTCACATTTAAAAACAAACTGAATCAAACTCCTCCCCTTTCCCAAGCTCTGCTTCAGGTCCTCATGTCCTACATCAGGCTTCCTCAACCTTGGCCCTCCAGATGTTTTTGACCTACAACTCCCATGATCCCTAGCTAGCAGGACCAGTGGTCAGGGATGATGGGAATTGTAGTCTCAAAACATTTGGAGGACCGAGGTTGAGGAAGCCTATCCTACATGCTCACTGAAAACTCGGTGGTTGATGGATTACAGTTCTAGCCCACTTTTTCTCCCAGAGGGCAGCAAACAACAAAGCATCAAAACAATAAAATATAAAACAAAAGAAATAAAACATTTCAAAACAGTCATATATCATCACAGCTAATGATTCCAAGGTTGTCAGGCATAGTTATGTTTCAGCCATCTCCAAGCATGGATCCTTAGGCAGCAAAAATGGCTCAACCCAGGCACAAAAGGAAGGTATCAACAGGCTTGGGGGAAGACCATGGTATCAATCAATCAATCAATCAATCAATCAATCACTCAATCCTTAAGGCAGGGGGGGCCCAAAGAATTCACTGAGGACTGAGCATGCTTAGTGGCCACAGATTGCTAACTGCCTGTTGAGAAGTGGGGCTGGGTAAATGGAGAAAATGGGGAAGGGGGTGGAATGGAGTGTCCTGGAAGAGGGCTTGGCTGGCAGCTAGCCACCCAACCAGCTAGCCAACCAACCAACCAACCAACCAACCAACCAGTAAGTCACTGCCTCTCAGCCTAACCTACCTCACAGGGTTGTTGTGGGGATTAAATGAGGAATGTGAGAATCATGTATGCCCCTGTCTGCTCCTTGGAGCGAAAGATGGAATATCAATGAAATAAATACGGTAGCTAGCTAGCTAGCTAGCTAGCTAGCTAGCTATTGAGGGCAGCTACTTGGAAGGGTTGCAGTATACAGGCTAGCCACAAGGTGGTACACTCCCCTTAAATTTGCTTTCAGCTGTCCCAACTCTCAATTTTAGCTGCTTACCAACTGAACATTTACTCTGCATCCAGTAGCTTATACCGCTGATTTGGGAAGCCGTATACAAACTATGTAAGCCACTAAAAATGGGCAACCAAAATGGTCAAAGGCCTGGAAACGATGCCTTATGAGGAACGGCTAAGGGAGCTGGGCATGTTTAGCCTGGAGAAGAGGAGGTTAAGGGGTGATATGATAGCCATGTTCAAATATATAAAAGGATGTCACATAGAGGAGGGAGAAAGGTTGTTTTCTGCTGCTCCAGAGAAGCGGACACGGAGCAATGGATCCAAACTACAAGAAAGAAGATTCCACCTAAACATTAGGAAGAACTTCCTGACAGTAAGAGCTGTTCGACAGTGGAATTTGCTGCCAAGGAGTGTGGTGGAGTCTCCTTCTTTGGAGGTCTTTAAGCAGAGGCTTGACAACCATATGTCAGGAGTGCTCTGATGGTGTTTCCTGCTTGGCAGGGGGTTGGACTCGATGGCCCTTGTGGTCTCTTCCAACTCTATGATTCTATGACTATACACATCTGTGCAGTTAGCTTCTTATGAAATACTGCGTTTTGATATGTTCCCCCACCCCAAAATAGCTATGATCCAAATTGAGACAAAGAAAAACCTGGGGCTTGTTTGCATTTCAGAACTAGTTAGTTGTTAATCCAATTCCTCTCATACACAGACACACCCGCCATATTAATTAGACCAGAGTAGTCCACACAGGCATGTATAGGAGTAGCAACTTTGGTCTTTTCTGTCTATAGCTAGAGTAGATGTTCGCTTTTGGAATTGTCTCCACCTTTTAATTTGTTGATTCTATCATACTGATCAAATAACAACAGGCCATGTATGCATGCAGATAGTTTTGAACACCTTGCTTTAAAAAAAATATTCTGCCCAGGAAGTGTGCAAAAGCACACAGAGATCAGGTGTAGTTCCCCACTTTTGATCCCTCAGAGTTGCACAAAACCAGAAAACTGCCCAAGGAAACCACATTAAATGTATTTACATAAATAAATAAATGTTGGATTTTACATATTTCCGTGTGTGTGTGTGTGTGTGTGTGTGTGTGTGTGTGTGGCACTGCTTGCTCCTATCTCATTTAAGTACAGCAAAGCCATCTCTCCCGATCCAAAATAGAATGTTTTGCAGAACAGATTTTTTTTTTTTTTTGCAGATTCAGTTATATCTACTGATTAAAAGACTTTTTAATCTGTTGACAAACCAGTTAAGCAGCTTAAATTTAGAAAAAAAGTGTGCATTTTGCTGAACCTCCAAACAGCTGCTTTTCTTGAGACATTGAGGGAAATAATTTGGTTTAACAAACAAAAATAACCACTACTTGTTAGGTTGAAATGACATACCTGATTATCACTCCCATCCTAAACATCAGAGCCAAGCAGCCTCAAAAAATAAGTAAATTTTTAACTCAGTTTGGCCTCTCCCATTTAAAAAATTGACTTTCCAATTTGTATAAGAATGTTGACGACTTTTATGTCCCAGGCCAGGGGGTCAGGAACTATGATGGGCTAGTGGGCCCGATCTTTATCTCCCCCTACTCAGCAGACCATCTTTAGAGAGCACCCTGTGATGTCAGCTGATTTACAGGTGGACATGGTTTGGGGAAAATGGCATCACAGACCAAAATGGACCCCCTGGGAGATCAGGATTAGCCCATGGGATGGAGATTCCACACCCCTGGTCCATGGCAGAAAATCCAGATAGTATTGTTGCTTTTGCTCATTCGACCACCATCCACTGCTATGTTCTCCTGTGTAGACTGAAGCCACACTTGTATAGTTTGTTAATTTTAGGGGTGAGAGGTGGGCCTTACATCACTTAGTCACAGTTATGGTTACAGTTACAATTTGTTTAATATATTCTTTTGATTGACTTGCACATCTTAGTGACTTTTTAAAGCTCTAGTCTCAAAAAGTTCATAAACCTATATTTAAAAACAGCAACAACTTGAGAAGTGGCTCAAACTATAAGGAGAGAACGAGCTCCCAACACAAGCCCAGATGGACCATTGGCTTAGCCTTGTCCTCAGCGGTGTGGGAAAAGGAAGAAACTAGACAATGCCTGCTCCCAGCACGCTTATGGTTACGGT